GATGTTAGAGGCTGCACGAGCGAGCGGGTACGATGTTAGAGGCTGTACGAGCGAGCGGGTGCGATGTTAGAGGCTGTACGAGCGAGCGGGTGCGATGTTAGAGGCTGTACGAGCGAGCGGGTGTGATGTTAGAGGCTGTACGAGCGAGCGGGTGCGATGTTAGAGGCTGCACAAGTGAGAAATCACTCAGAAATTACCAGCTCTACATCACTCAGCTCTATATGCAAGCAATCGTGCACCTTGTACACAATATGATCTTACATCGTGTTTTGCAGACATACATGCATGCGACCCACACCTTGTGTGTAGGGTGATCTTATATCATGCTCTGTAGACAAATGATGTCAAACCTAGTATGTAAGACAACGCTACATCATGGTCTGTAGATATAGGACCTCAGGCCTTGTGTGTACGATAACCTTCATCAGAACACGTATATCATAACATCGTAATCGTCACGTGTTGCCTTTTCGCAGCCATATGCTACCGTGTTGTAGGGCAAGAAATATACGTATGAAGTTTTCCACGTAACTGCAATGTGTCAGGTGAAGATTTGTAGGCATGTGTAGATCGTGATATAGGGCGCTTCACGTACCTCTGTTGTCTACGGCGCGGGCGGGGCGGCGTGCGCTTTGCCTTTGTGCCGTCAAAGTAGGCGTGCTGGTAGAAGCAGTTACCGGCAAATGGACATTCTCCGCAACCGTGCTTGAAATACTTGCAAGGTTTCGCACTGTAAGCAGACCAGAGACGCGATGCACCAAGTGAACAGCTGACGTAGAACACAGAGCAATACAGAATTCATAGTAATGAGGTGGAATTAAGGACGTCATCATATTTACATAGATTGCAGCAGCAGTAAATAATCCTGAGGACTACTGTTGTTTCACATTTATAAAGTTCACACCTAGTTAACTGAGATTTCACCTATAATAAGTTCTCATATTTAACATCTACCGTCCACACCTTACAAACACGCATTATAGTAAGATTTAAGTGACTGCTAACAGTGTGTGCCATCCATTGACATTTTCACTCGCAAAAGTAAACATCAATTAAACTTCTACTCCAAGAAAGTCTGAACTACTAGAATTACTCGAGGAGTAGGAAGAAAAAAAGGAGAGAAAAAGAAGAAAAAAAGGGAAAAAAAGAAGAGACAAAAATGGAAAAAGGAAGAAAAAGTACGGGTAGGAGAAGGAATAAAGCTGCAATTTTCCCACCTCGTTAACGTGGGGTAAAAAAAATCGATCGTTCCAGCGACCTAGCAGCATAGAGTTTTGTACCTGAGAGCAGTTTTGTATCCCTCAATGAGTTCCAGCTTCTCTTGGTGGTCCTCAACCCAGTACAAACTCGGCGTTACAAAGTTTGAATTCACTCTACACTCCGGGCAGGCACTACAGATGTACAAACACACGCGCGTGAGCACACGTTAGAGGCAATGGCACAACAAAGCGTAGGCGAGGAAAAGTTTTTACGGGAATATGACCGCAAAACTATTCGATGATAAAGGAATCGAAACCAATGCTTTGAGAAATTACCTCTCAAAATATAATTCAGCATTAAAATGCGGTTAGCTATTAGCAGATGTATCACTGAATGCTCCAGCTTGAAAATTACGAACAATTTATGCTGTTACACGCTATAACAGAGGGAGTGAACGGAAAAATTGCAGAAACCATCTTGAAATCTGGCCACAAAAATTAACTGAATATTTATCAAATTTATTTTTTACATTTAGTGTTTGCCATCACATAAAACAATCGCTCGTAATTCGCCGACAGCGACAGTGTGAGCGTCGCGGCGCGTCGCAGCTCACCGGATGATCTTATTCTCAAACTGCTTGGCACTGCGCCACTTTCGGATGCAGCTGAGGCAGAAGACGTGCTTGCAGTTGGAGAGGATGCCAAATCGGCGCTCGGATACCGGCGTCTTCTCCATAACGAGCTCCATGCAGATTCCGCACGCCTTGTCCTTGCTGCGCTGCACCTGGAACGAGTACTCCATGTCCTTCTCATGCTGCTTGAGGCACGCCTGCGACACGAGAGAGAGAGCGAGAGAGGGTGAGACGATTTAGGGCGACGGTCAATGTGCGAGAAATATTAAAAAATAATAACACAAAATTAAAAAATAATAATAAAAAAAACAAAAAATACGCTGGCCGGTTTCTCACTAGGTTCTACAATAACGTTAGTTATGTAGTAGGCCCTAATTAGTAGTATATCGGTAAGAATAACAATATAAACTAGTCGTATATCACTAATAATAGCTATATATTAGCAGTGTATTGGTAAGATTATACAATAAAACAGTGGTAGATCAATAATAATAACTATATATATTAGTAGTAAATTGGTGAGAATAACAATATAGCAGTTAATTTATTAATAATATTTACTTAGTAGATGTATAGCAATTATGATAGTAACAAAGTAGCAGCCTCTTAATTATTATGGGTATATTGCACCAGTATATCGGTAATATAGATTACAGACACTCAAACACTCGTCGCCATCTAGTGTACGATCAGCGCCCCTAGTGGCGAGATCAGCGCCCCTAGTGGCGAGATCAGCGCCCCTAGTGGCGAGATCAGCGCCCCTAGTGGCGAGATCAGCGTCCCCTAGTGGCGAGATCAGCGCCCCCTAGTGGCAAGATCAGCGCGACCTAGTGGTTGCCTCACCTCCTTGTGGAGCGCTCGCTGATCTTTGCTCGTCGGGTGCAGGCAGCATTGGCCGCAGTATTCGCACATGTCGCCATGGACGTACGCGCACTCCGCACCAAACTCGCACTCTCCCGCCTGCAGGTAGGGGCACAGCAGCTGCTGTTGCGCGCCACCGCCGCCGCCGCCGCCACCGCCACCCTCCTCCGCCACGCTGTCGTTGCCGTCCGATGCCATCTTGGCGCCTCCCGCCGCCTCCAGGTAGGACTTGTGCGCGACTGCAAAGCGGAGTGTGCGACGAAATGAGAAAAAACATCGCACGGGCGCCGCACGACGCTTTATATTCACTCTAGTAGTCTACATTACTCTTTATATTCACTCTACATTACTCTTTATATTCACTCTACATTACTCTTTATATTCACTCTACATTACTCTTTATAATCACTCTACATTACTCTTTATATTCACTCTACATTACTCTTTACAAGCACACTCATTTCTCACACTAGCATCATGTTAACCCTGCCACGTGTCGGATGTAAGAGCCACCCCCTGAGAGACAACTCCTCCGTCCATCTCCCTGCTGGAGGACTGCCAGGAGAGAGCAACGCTTGCTCGCCGCTAGTCTTACCTTTGGATTTGTACGGCTGTCCCGGCACAAACTCCGCCGCGTTCACCCAGTCGGAAGGCGCCACCATCGGTATGGCGCTCGACGGAGCATCGTCCTCGACGCTGCTTCCCGACGACTCGAGGCGTTTCTTCAGCGTGACCATGCGTGAAGCGAGCACCGTCTTGCTCTCCGGCTGACTCACGGCTGGGGGTCGCGGCGACGGCTTTGGCTGATGCTGGGATCGGACGTGATCGTACCTGGGCGACAATAACGACTGTTGAGCGTCCATTGACCGACCCTTGACCCGATGCGCGTATGCACGTATAAACACACGCATGTACGCATGCACGTGTAGACAAACACATGCATGCGCGCATGCAAACGTGCATGAATGCACGCACACACACAAACACGCACACAACCACGCGCACGCTCACGTGCACACACACGCACACACGCACGCACGCACGCACGCACGCACGCACGCACGCATGCACGCACGCACGCACGCACGCACACACACACACACACACACCTATGCACACTCACGCAGACGCACACGCGTGCACAAACACACACGTCGACACCGTATTAATTGCGATGACACGAATGCGTACGAACGCATGCATACCTGCATCGTACTCCGTATGAACATTGGCCTTTGAGAAAGTACTTGCAGACTGTTGACGGCTGGCCGTCATGTAGGTAACGACAACTCTGCATCTCTCTACACTGTCCATACATGTAGTACCTGCACGGTATCGACGCTAGAAATCAATGCATCTACACGCACGCACATCCTATTGTTTGCAATTTCCCCTTCTATAGTGCACCAACTGCCTTCACCGTTAGGCCAAAACAAACAAGAGTTGAACGCATAGCGACAGCGGCTCTATCTAAGCGTCTAACTGCGCGTGACTCTGCGGTGGCGTGGAGGGGATATCGCTAGAGTAACCTGTTTAGTCAAATGATGTTCCACAAATAACAGAGCGGCCGAAACATTGTGAATGCACGAGGGATGGTTATGCGAGGGAACGCTTCTTAAACAGAATGTTCGTTGGAGTCGTTGTATGAAATGTTGTGCCACGAGATGCGCGTAGCGTTTTTAAGTGTCTTTCAATTAAAGATGGAAGCGTCCCCTCCATTCCGGTGATACAACAACTATTTGCAAGACAGAATAGGTAAGCACTCAGTCCATTGTACCTAACGCAAAGCCTACGAGCTGCAAATTGCAAATAAGAAGAGCGCTGCCACCGTACTGCAAGCAATTAACGGGCTCATGGCAAAAACTGCAGCCACCCAGTGGCATACCGTACGTTACATGTAACATAATCTGACAGTACAGACTGATGAGCCATAGAAATTATACGATTTAAGGACATACACCCGCTTCTTGTACCAAATTTAGACTTTAGAAATTTCACTGTGAGCATTGTACCCTCATAGCATCCAGGCATGTGATGAGATTCTACTAGCAAACCCCGCAGTCAAATTCTTGTCTAAAACAGAGCAGTCAAACAAAATCCAAGTTTAACCTCTCTCTCTTGAGGGTCCAAAAGGTTATCCGACACTTAACGTCTTCGCATTGTCAGCAGAAGGACATTTTCATGTCCCTTCTCAATAAAGCCAGTAAAAAATGCTAGGTTCCACGCGCTGACAACAAAGAATAGTTTTCAATTCGCATCCGATCGATCCATGTCGCTCAGAAAATGTCGTAAAATTCTGCCCCTGTGGTCCCATGACCTTCTGACCTGTGACCTCCCGAATTTTCGGCAACTAGGTGATGGCTTTCCTACCAGTGATGCTAATACAACCGAGCTCGATCACTGAGCCTACAGGGTGCGAGGTCCTGTTTTGTAGATTTGCTGCCTGCAAATAACTCGCATTTCCTCCCTATACCTTAAGTTAAGGAGTAACTGTTCCGCCTTCTTTACACCCTCTTACCTTTGATCCTTTAACCCCGCAGCTTCGACATCCAACTCGTTTTGGACGATTCCCGACCCCAACGACACCGAGATATCGTGAACGTGAACGTCGAGCGTTAAGATTATTGGTGCCGCGACTGTTGAGCGAAACCGGACCGTACTCGGGACGGACGACTCGGACGAACGACGACGGCAGCACAGGACGGACGCGAGCTCATGCGATTCTACAAGCTGCAGTTCTGACTATGGTCAGATTCTCTAATATATAGGTGTGTTGCGTTTACCGTTCTCCCGAGGCGACCGCTAGTTAGTTCCCAGCCGACCCTAAGCATTTTATTGTCAATTCTTTCTTTTAAAAGTAAAAATATAAATAAAAAAATAAAAAAAGAAAAAAATAAAAACAAATATTTAATTGACAGTTCCTGCCTTCCATAAAAGCACAACGCACATCCTCGGTGAACCATGGGTTCGTAAATAAAATTGTTTCAAATAAAAATAAACTGTTTGTCCTCCTACCTACCTACCCTAATTCTTTTCGGCATGAAACGCGTAATCCACACCTATATTTTGTTTTGGGCCTTATGAATGAGTTCGGCACACCCTGTTAACGTCGACTACCCGTGAACCCGATACCTAGAGCAACTTCTAACTGAAGCAAATCAGGAGGAATTGCACTGTCCAAAAACACAGCAACAGTGACTGCACTGAGTTAAACAACAAGACCTGCAGCACAACATTCTCAATAAGGTTACCACTGCCCTGTGGCAAAATCGGTACTCTTCAAGAATTTTGAAAACGAGATATAATAACTTTTTTGATCATTACTGCGTTCATATAGTCACATACTGGTGTATTTCACTTGGGAATTGGGGAAATATAACCCTTTCACATTTTGAACAACTGTGGAGGCAGCTACAAGAATAAAATCCAAAATCGTGCAAGTGATTCAATCAAGCATTGCTCCACGTGATATATAGCCACGGCCTGCTAAGCATTTGCTAGGTTATGACGATACTTTGTTTCACAGAATTTGTAAGAATTGTGGACCGTCACTAAAAAACTTGGTGTAGCACACGAACACTTCCTGTAATTGTACCAAGTTCTACTATTCGTCATCAGTACTTAGCTGGAGAGGTCTATGTCCCCCCTAGGGACTGCCGAACGTAGCGCCTGGTCTCATCTAATATGCCGGACGCGTACCTACGCCACTCAACTAACGGAGTCTAGGGAGTCGCCTCGCCTACTCCCTACACGCCTATCAGGATGTAGTTAGCCGAGGTGACGTTGCCGGTATACCGGACCGTACCCAGGGTACGTTCCGGCAGTACCCTGGTGGACATAGACCCTATGAGCAGTACTTAGTCTAACTTACATGAAGAGGAGTTCACGCACTAGAGCAAAATTTCAGTGTCGGTCACAATTACAAGAAATTCCATGAAATTACATCAAATGAACTATTGCCACAGCTGACAGCAACGCAATTTATTTTTAATTGGAGGAATACTAAACCAGTTTTAACACTACTAACAATAACAGCGACCTTTATCGGTATATTTATATGCTATAATTGACATAATAACATTGATACGGATAGTGATACACTGATAGTGATACAATGTAACAATGGCATTATTAACATTCTATATTTATATTATCAACTGATACTGATAGTGATAGGGTCATGGAATGCAAGATAGTGCATACGAAAGGCAGAGCCAAGAACATGGGTCATAGGTAAGAGCACCAACACTGCCTAGAATAGGTTCTCATTTCACTACAGAAAAAAAAAAAAAACTTGGCCGGGTGACGTGGGACGGGGAGGGAAATGAAATGAAAAATTACTATCGACGCATCGAGTTACTTTAGTCAGTGTTCTCAGTTTTGCGCGCTTGCACAGCCAAGGTATCAACTTATGGGCAGTTCACGCAGTTGCTGACAAAACTATAATAGGCTTAACCTTACCGACACGAAATATTTGAGGTATTTGGGTAGGAAACAGAACTTAACGTCGAACCAGCCTCAGCCATGTTTGTTGTTTACCTCATCACCCCATGATGCATTGCACGATGACATCATTTTGTTAATATTGTTTTGATGCGTTTATTTCCAACGTTGTGTAAATAAAATACGACAATTAATATTTTTTTTGCAGTTTCTTTGAATAAATATATTTAAGAAAGATAAATACGCTTTAAAAAATGATATAAACAGTAGTATTCCATCGCCATCATTGTCGCTATGTACACGGCTACAGTAGGAAGAGATGGCATCTGTGGTGTGTTTGAAAGCGAGGCCATCATAACATGGCCACGAACACGGCGTCTGTGTTTGTACTACTACTATAGATAATAGAGTTTATCACGTAAAATACTCGATGTGTTGTTAATTTAATAAAGATGGAAGACGAGGAGCGAAAACGAAAGTTGGCAGCCGGTCGTGAGCGGGTAACTGCATATTTGAAACATTCTGTCAGCTAGTTTGTTTGAAAGTTAAAAATTTTATAGGCCCAGATAATGCAGATTGAACACAAGTTTCGAGACGTGGTGAACACATGTGAATCATAGTGTGATGATTTGTCAGGCGGATAGATAAGTTGAACGTTTTAACATACCTTTGTGTGATTTTTAGCTGGAGAAGTTTCAGAGGACAAAGAAGAAAGGCAAGAAGCGTAAGGTGGTGACAGGCCCGCGTGACGCGGAGGCAGTTTCGGATTCAGAGAGCGTCACGTCCACCACCTCCGCTACCTCTTCGCTGTATTATGAGGTTCGTGTACTTGATGATCCTGTATCGCACCATCTACAATGACACATCGTTTGCTGTGACTTGTTTAACTCATCAAAATAGAAAGTAGTGCTGTATCAATACGTTACACGCACGTGGCAGGTTTCTAATATACGCGAGTCACGATATCATATGTATCGCCATAGAAACAAGCAAATTAACAAAAGCAGAATTATAATGTCACATTACCAAACCATCAGGCATAGGACAGAATACAATGAGCCCCACACGTCACTGATATGTGATTTTATACTGAATACAAACATTGCCTGAATTTAATCAGTTTAAACTGTTATTACAAATGTTGTTTGATATTGAATCAGGAGTGTATCAATATTGATACACTCCTGATTGAATGAATGCAGTTAAGAAGTCTGATTGATCGATCTAACCTATTCATATGAAGTCCAGTTATTGATTTAACCTTGGAGCTTCAGAAATTCAAAATTAAAAGAGCTCACTGCATCTATGTACCAATCAATAGCTTTCTATTTTGGCTGCTGAAGAAAATAAATAACAGATAATACAGACGTTGCAGTCGAGTAGTAAAAGTAATTGTTAATTTACGGAATTGTCCTATTAAGTAATAGTCCATGATCGCTTCCTCATCATAGTAAGCGATGCCATCGTTATCAGCTAGCTACTAAAGTTCCTAATTCATGCATGCTGCACCATCTGTTTAACTCTATGCTACCCCCTAGGCTAGTCTCCTATCGTGGTTTGCACATCCCCAACGTTGCACTCTTAATGGAAAGAAGGTTATTGTAATCGTTAACTACATCTATTTATCTGTATGGCATGTGTGTTTATGGTATGGCATGTGCAAGAGACATCAATAAGAAAATCAATTGTTCTATCCACTGACTGACCTGTGGAATACTGAATTAGATTATTGCAAATAACAAACTCGTTTATGTGTAGCCTGATTACCAATGATAACTTGCCAGCTGTCAGCGTTCCTTTGTAGCTAGGCAATTAGTGAATAAAATACTGGCAGCCAGGTTGACAGGTGTGGACTCTTTAGTCAGTTTCACCTTTATATAAAGCCAAGCAATATACATTTGGGGTAGCATAGTTGGAAGAAAATCGGTCATGTGGCCTTTATTCAATAATTTGAAAATGCAATTTAATCTCAGTAAATGTGACGGATTACAGTTTGTAGACAAGGATTTTACTGTGTAGAAGAAAGATTCGTAAATGTTATTTTTACATATGATATAAATACAAAATGACACAAAAATGCAATGAGATAAAGTTTCATTAAAATTTCTTAATCATGGTTAGATGCAAGGGCGGCGGAACGTATTTAATTTGAGGGGGGCAAAGCCAAAAAAGGGCACGTTTATCATGTAAATCTGTAACGTTTGTAACGTCATGTAAACGTTTATCATGAAATTTTTAAAGCGCCGCCCTGCCCCTCCCCCCGGTTCGCCGCCCCTAGTTAGATGTCATTGTTGTGAAATCAGATAAATAGCTTGCTTCAATTTGTACAAAAAAAACTCAATTGTGCGTAAAAATTGTTTAAGCCAGACATTTAATTTGTGGTTTAATATGGAAGGTGACCCCAAACATAGGCTATGTATTGTGTGACCATAATTGCAGGTGCGAAAGTGTTACCCTGTTTGCTAGTGTGTAAAATTTGAGTTCTTGCCTTTAGTTTTAGATGTGTGATTCCATGCAGACCTTTTCACTGTGTCTCGTTTCTTTTGGTAAAGCATTCATAATTTCGGGTAGAGACTTTAATATGACCTATTAAAGATTTTTGTAATTTGCAACCTTTACAATGTTTACTCTGGCACAAAGTCTTATGCTTCGAAGTCACCTTGCTCCAAGAAGCAAAAAGCTTTATGGTGGCAGAGTTGATGGCAATAACCATAAACTATAAATGCTTGACCAAAGGTGGAGAGGTAGGTGTGTGCAGTGCTAATACAACCATTTGCGTGTGTGTGTGTGCGCAAGCATGCTGCCTCTAACATGTTTGCATTGATTTTGCTTGCGTGTGTAGAGCGATCAATCCTTGGCAAGTGCAGACGAATCGGCAGATGAGGTGAGTTTCTACTTGAGTGTAGTTAGTGTGTGTGTGTGTGTGTGTGTGTGCGTGCGTGCGTGCGTGTGCGTGTGCATGCGTGCGTGTGTGCATGTCGCATTGGAATTTTGCGCTGTTCCACCCACGCCATAAATATATATAATTTTAATACATATAAACGCTTGTAATGGCGTCATAGCTCACAAAATCCATAAACGTCCCTAAGAATAATCATACTGACCAGATTTTTTTCTGTCACTCGATATAAAACAAAATTCGATGAATAGATAGAATTCTCGCTGCTATTGCTAACACCCGGGGTGCATAGCGAACGAGCGTGGGCAGGGCGGTGCCGTCACAAACCAGATGCGAACGCATCCTGTGGTCGTCGTATCACTCGTTCATAATCGGTGGGCGACGTTCTCGCGTGCAGGTGGCGCCGCACGGTGGCGGCGACCGGCGGAAGCCGACGCTGCGCGACATGCAGGAGGTTCTCGAGGAGAACTGTCGTCTAGAGGAGCTGCTGAGCGGAAAGGAGATGGCCCTCGAGCTCGCAACACAGGAGTGCAGGCAGCTGAGGGAAGAGCAGGGAAATGGCGGGAGAGAGCGAGAGGTATGTGTGGGAGAGTGCAGGCAGCTGAGGGAAGAGCAGGGAAATGGCGGGAGAGAGCGAGAGGTATGTGTGGGAGAGTGCAGGCAGCTGAGGGAAGAGCAGGGAAATGGCGGGAGAGAGCGAGAGGTATGTGTGGGAGAGTGCAGGCAGCTGAGGGAAGAGC